CTTGTTGTTCCATGACGAAGTCCCAAAGGACTATCGTCTTGTTGTTAATGGACCTGGCGTTACAGAGCACCAATGACGGAGAGGGGTTCTTCCGAGCCCCACTGCTGACCTCCCTGGGGATGGGTCGTAGGCTGGAAGGGCACCGAGCCATCCTATTTCTCGGGGCTCTTCCCTTAATGTTCTGCCTAGACCCACCGCTAAACTTTCCCCTCCCCAAGAGCACCGGAATCTGCTGCGCCAGCATTGCTGTATCCACTGGTCACCGCAGCCACAAGCCTCCACACCAGACAGCTCCACCAGCTGGATGGATCTCAACAGCGTAACCAAGTCACTTCCAAACCAGCAGCTCCTTACTCTAACTTCTCCTTGCTCTAACACTCTCTAAGTACCCTATAGTACAAAAAACTAGCCCAATGGCTCTCTAATGTACAGGGAACTAACTACTCTACTAGGGACTGTTACTATCATAATATCCTCGCCATTCACAGAATGGTACTAGCCCCCCCCCCCACCCAAAAAAGAGAGATCCCTAAGGGGATATAAGGACTTAGGCAATTCCATTCCTACTTGTATCTGAGGAAAGGACCTTTGACTTTCAAAAGCAATTGGGGGGCACTGAATACAAATAAGGGGGATGTGGAAGCATAAAGAAAGAAGAGTCCAGAACCTATCTAAAGCAGCCTTTTGGCGGAAGGGCAAATAAGTTTGGGAACCTATGGGTGGCACCTTTAAGACCAACAAAGGTTTATTCAAGGGATGAGTTTCCGTGTGTGCACGCATACCTTGAATAAATCTTTCATGTGCATACATACCTTGCATAAACCTTTGTTGGTCTAAAAGGTGCCACTGGACTTGATCCTTCTGCTTACAACTCAACGCTTAATCTTTCCTGACGACGATACAATCTTAACAGAATCTTTACTGCTTGCAGAGGCACGGTGCATCAGAGTTTCACAGACTTCACATTCCTGTCCGGCAGCATCGTTGGAAAGATTTTTAAACTCAGAGGAGAGCTAGATCCAAACGTGGCCATCGATACTAGCAATGAAGCTTCATTAGCCTTCTTACAAAAACATTTAGGTAAGCAGCTGTGTTGTTTTGCATACAGAATTTACTTATTTGGTTGGTAGCCCAGCCCAGACGCCCAGGGTGAGCAAAATATTACGAAGAAAATCTTTATGCCTAAAAAATCTCAATACATGGTGCTGTTATTCCTCGCCAAAAAAGGCCACCCGGAAATAGAAGAAGAAGAGGAGATTGGATTTATACTCCGCCCTTCACTACCCAAGGGAGTCTCAGAGGGGCTTACAAACTCCTTTCCCTTCCCCTCCCCACAACAGACACCCTGTGAGGGAGGTGGGGCTGAGAGAGCTCTGACAGAAACGGCTCTTCTTCAAGGACAGCTCTTATCAGAATCACGGCTTGCCCAAGGTCATCTAGCAGCTGCGAGTGGAGGAGTGGGGAAATCAAACCCGGTTCTCCCAGATTAGAGTCCGCACACTCAACCACTACACCAAACTGGCACCAAAGAGTCCCCGACTTAGAGGTACATTGTGCCGATTCAGGAAATGTACATACCGCCTCTCCAAAGACCTGCTGGAGGATGCTTGCAAAATCAGAAGCATACGAGAACAGCATGAATATCCTAACAAACAAACCGTAAAGGTGTGTCTGTGGCAAAAAAGCAATGTCGTAGTGGAGGAAAGTGCTGCCAAGTCGCCACTGACTCATGGCGACCCCCACAGGGTTTTCTAGGCAGGAGACGTTCAGAGGTGGTTGGCCATTACCTGCCTCTGCGTAGCGACCTTGGACTTCCTTGGTGGTCTCCCATCCAAGTACTAACCAGGGCCGACCCTGCTTAGCTTCCGAGAACAGGCTATCCTGGGCCCTCCAGGTCAGGGCAAAAGGTGACAAATGCCGTTCTAAAAATGATATCCATAAAGCAGTCCTCTGGCTAGAAGCAGACCATAAAGGCGGCTCTCAAAAGATGGAACCCCTCGATTTAAAAAAAACAGCCTGGATAAAAGAAGTGTTTTGTGATATACGGAGGGTCAAGCTATCAAAATAAGTTATTATAAAAATACAAATATTTATTATGGCGTACACATTAATAGGTTAAAAGAAGTGATCCAAACATCAGGCTCCTAAAACTTTTTACATACAGAGCTGTTAAGTTTCACATATACAGTTGGTGGGTATATCACAGCTGTGTCTTGGGTTGAGTCCCCCCCCCTCATTATTATTTAAGTGTTTTGGCCAGGCAAGCCTCCAGGGGAGGATCTTTCAGAGGTGAGGTGCCACCACCGAAAAAGCTCTGTGCCTGGTTAAAGTAAAAGGAAGGACTTCTTCACCCAAAGAGTGATTAACACATGGAATTCACTGCACAGGAGGTGGTGGCGGCTACAAGCATGGACGGCTTCAAAAGGGACTTAGATAGGCATATGGAGCAGAGGTCCATCGGTGGCTATTAGCCACAAGGTATAGATAGGGGCTCTGGGGCAAGTGATGCTCTGTCTTCTTGGTGCTTGGGGGGGTCAACAGTGGGAGGGCTTCTAATGTCCTGGCCCCACTGGTGGACCTCCTGATGGCACTGGTATTTCTGGCCACTGTGTGATGCAGAGTGTTGGGCTGGATGGGCCTTTGGCCTGATCCAACATTGGCGTCTCTTATGTTCTTATGTTCTTAGGAGCCCAGAGGGCAGGGCTTGGGAAAAGGATTGTCACTGGCAAGCTGGCCCCATTGAGTGTACAGGTCTGGGTTTGCTGCCGTAGTACGAAATGAACAAGCCCATGGGAATCCTCAGACTCATGCCCCCGTTCCCTTCCTACACGGACAGCTACACTAAGACTCTCATCTAGTCTAGCACTGGGGCAGCTCCACTTGGCTTCTTTTGGCTGTTCCAGAGGGGAAAGGAGAGAGAGAGAAAGGTTAGATTTATACCCTGCCCTTCACTACCCAACGAAGTCTTGGAGTGGCTTACAATCTCCTTCCCCTTCCCCTCCCCACAACAGACACCCTGTGAGGTAGGCGGGGCTGAGAGAGCTCTCCCGAGGACTGCTCCTGAGAGGGCAGCTCTGAGAGAACTTGGGACTGACCCAAGGTCGCACCAGCAGCTGCATGTGTCGGAGTAGGAAATCAAACCTGGTTCTCCCAGATTAGAGCCTGCTGTTTTAACCACTACAACAAACACTCCTGCCAAGGCCTTCTACTGAAATAAAATCCCCACAACAAGAATCTGTTGTGTGGCTTAGAGCTGTTTACACCACGGATGATCTCTGCCAAGGCACGCGGGAACAGTGGCTAGAGGGTGTAGGATGGGGACTCCCAATAAGAAGATGGCTAGCTGAATGGCGCCCTGGAGGGCCCGATCTCGTCAGATCTCGGAAGCTAAGCAGGGTCAGCCCCGGCTTGGATTTGGACGGGAGACCTCCAAGGAATACCCGGGTCGTGACACAGAGGCAGGCAATGGCAAGCCCCCTCTGAACGTCTCTTGCCTTGAAAACCCCACCGGGGTGGCCACAAGTCAGCTGCGACTTGACGGCGCTTTCTACCGACTAGCTATACGGCGAGCAGTTCTCAACGTTACCGCTAGGATAGGAGTCGCTCAGCGCAGGGAGGCTGTGCGTTTAGCCCTGAACAAAATGCATCCCATGAGATGGCAATAAATACGCACAGACTCTTCTTTACATTTGCTTATCAATACTGTAATGGTGCTCAATAGAACTTATATTTACATACAGCCCTTGTTGTTTGCATCAGTACAAGTACTACAAAAGACAATATTGTCAATAACCCAATTGACACAAATAACATCATGTGAAAGATTCTGACGGTGTCCGGGTTTACTCTCAGCCCGTTTATTTGTCTTTATCAAAAAACCTTCACTGCGTATAATATAAAAATACAAAAAGGTCACCAGACAAACAGCTGACATACCATGAAACAGGACTTATTTTTGTAGAAAACGCCCAGCAGGAACTCATTAGCATAATAGACCACACCCAACAGCAGAAACCTATTAGCATATTAGGCCACACCCCTGACAACACAGCTCATTAGCACACTAGGCCGCATCCCATGTTACCAGAAGTGTGGTCATCCAGCCACACCCACCTTTTGCTTTGTATTCTGTTTACCTTGTTTGTGGTCAAAACCCAGGGCCTTTTTTTGTAGCAGGAACTCCTTTGCATGTTAGGCTGCCCCCCCTAAAGTAGCCAATCCTAATGAGTTCCTGTTGTTGGGTGTGGCCTATTATGCTAATGAGTTCCTGCTGGGCGTGGCCAACTCGGGAGCCAGCTGGAACTCCGTTCCTGCCCAAAAATAGCCCTGACATGAAAATACAAATAACCTCTTACAAGTCATTTACTCACCACACAGAGGAGTCTGTGCATATCTGTCGCCCCCTCATGGTATATATTTTGTTCAGTTTAGGTAACTTCCAGGCTAACATTCATTCCAGCTGGAGCTTTGGTGAGTCAGAGCTCGCTTCTTCAGGCATTGCGTGAACTCCGGCAAAGGAAAACTCAGGCTGGAATAGATACTGTTAAGTCTTTAAGGTGCCACGGGACTTCGTGTTTTAATTTGCTACAACAGACTGACACGGCAACCTCTCTCTCTCTCTTTTAAGCAGCCTCCCTGAGGCAAATAAATAATCGGCCTTCGGGCAGCCGAGACTGAGCTTTTCAGTTACTAACAGGATAAGCACCCGTTCAGTCCTTGCAAGCCCTCAAAGCAAAGTCGTAGCTGCAAACCCCTTTTGACAGCCATACCCATCGGAGTTACAGCAGGGCTTGAGCGGAACAAGTTGGCTGTTGCATTCTCATAACTATAGCGGGCAGGCAAGTCGATGCTCACTTTTACATTGTGGAAATGGGTAGCGGCGAGTTTGTGGTGGTAGAAGCAGTCACCTCCAGGCTGCAACCAACAGCAGTGTACACCGGTGTTCCCTCTAAGCTGAGTTAGTGTGAGCTAGCTCACAGTTTTGTAAGCCTCCGTCTCACACATTTTTTTGTCTTAGCGCAGGGAGGGATGGCTCCAAAGCAAACTGATTTATGCCGGAGCCCAATCGCTCGCTCACAACGTTAATGCCAGTAGCTCACAAAGTAGAATATTTGCTCACAAGACTCCACAGCTTAGAGGGGGCATTGGTGTACATTCCTCTCAATTCAATAACGTGCCACATAGGGTAGCTTTAGAATAGATCTGAAATCCCATGCCACCCTGAGGTTGATACGAGCTTTAAATTAACAAGGACAGAATGAGAGCTCTAGAGGGGGGAAAGTCCATTTTAAAAGTTGTCGCAAGTCCGATATCTCACAAAAGTCTGGTGTAAAAGACAACCAAGCCAGTGATTTCCCATCTTTGCCTTCAGTCATTCATTTGCTTTCCAAAGTAATTGTGTGTTCCTCTGTTCTATATTTGTGTCCTGTAGGCCTCCATAAAGACTTTGACCAGTGGGACCAGCTCGTGGAAGGCAAAGGCCCTAATGTCATCCCTGGCACGAACGTTGAGCTGCCTCCTTCAACAAAACAATAAAGGATGCACTGAAAAATCTTGTGCCTAGAACACTTGATTGGCACAGTGCCGCTTGCCACCCAATGGCAACTTCCTCACTATTGGCACTGACTGAAAGAAGAGGATTTAAGAAAGGCAGTTTTGTAACCTACCTGGGCAGCTGCACAAAGTTACACTGCGATATTGGTAGGGTAGTATTTCCACATGGTTGCCAGTTTATAAGCTTATCTCATAATGATAGACGATTGAACACCTATACTGAGTAAGGATGGCTGTGTCTAGTAGATTGAGAGCTCTGTTCACAACATGTTTTATGACATGTGCAAGTTGTTTAGGACATCCACGTGGTTGCAAAATGAAAGTAAGCTATTTTACTGCCTTTTTTCAGTGGCTGAAATGCGATATCCATTTCTTTTAGTGGATGAAGAACGCAGCTCATGTGCAGTTCGAAGGGTTTCACTTCGGTATCACTGGCAGATAGCTAATGCCAGCTGTCATTATGAGCGCTCCAGTTCTGTTCAGGCCCACTTCCACAGGCGTGGATCATTTCAATCAGAACCATTCTATTAATATGAGCAGAGTAAATTTCCATGCTTGGACACGCGCCCCCCCCCCCTTCGGTACCTGGAAGCTGGGCCCTGTGAAACATGGCTGACGAAAGGGATCAAACTGGAATTCCATCTTGGATGGGCTGCAAGTGGCTACACCCTTCTTTAGCATATGGAGCCGCCTATAATGACTCTTAAGGAGCTGCGGTGGCTCAAGTGGTTAAGATGCTGAACTGCAGGCTGTGGAAGGCCGGTAGTTCAGCAGTTCAAGACCCGAGTGTGCCGCATGACGGAGTGAGCTCCCGTCTCTAGTTCCACCTCCTGCCAACCTAGCAGTTCGAAAGCAAGACATTGCAAGTAGATAAATAGGTACCACTTCGGTGGGAAGGTAACAGCGTTCCGTGCTCCTTGGTGTTTAGTCATGCCGGCCACATGACCACGTAAACGTCTTCGGACAGTGCTGGCTCTTCAGCTTTGAAACGGAGATGAGCACCGCAACCCTAGAGTCGGATTCGACTGGCTTTCGAGCAAGGGAGACCTTTACCTTTATAATGACTCTTAAGGTCTCCCCGGATTCTAAATGCAAGTGTGACCCGTAGTACCGTTTGAGAAAAGGTAACTTATCAAGTCACGCCCAGAAGCACATGCTAAGCCAGTGGTGACCAGAAATACCAGGAAACAAAAGGGGGGGGGGGAAAGGACAAGGCTGGTGACCAACTTACCCAATGACTACTATGAGCACACCATGGCGAATTTCAGCTTGGTGAACAGTCATCTATATTTACACGTGATCTGAAACAGTGCTGGCCAGTTTCCAAACGAGAACTCATTTCTGTTGTGTCGTCCAGTTGCCCGTCCTGCCGCCCACATTCTGCTTCTGATGAGAAACGTTGAAGCTGTTGCAGCTGATCAGAGGTTCTTCCACTCCAAAGTACTGTTGTCTCATCCTTAGACAAGATCACTGTTGGTCCAGTCTGAGCCTCCACAGGAAGGAGCTAGAGCTAACTGTACCCCATTTGCCTGACCAAGAGGTTTCTGAATACCTTGAGGAGCTGGGGGGCTTGCTGTTCTCGGAGCTGTCCAGCTAAGGCGTGTTAAAAACAACTTGCATAGAAAAGCTAAGCCTTAAAATCTTTCCCTTTATCGAAATCATATGTTCAGGAAGGTAAGAATTTGTCAGAATTCAGTGGTAACGTCCTCTTCGTCGTAACCACTAAGAAAAATACCTTGGTGAATTAGTATATTGCTTTGTGTTCATCATTGTGATGATGCCAAGACCAATAATACCGCAATCTGTATAACTACACTGCAAAGTATTTGTCAGAATTAAAATTAAGACATAACAGCTATCACAGTCTTTTTTATTATACCCTACTGTAAGCTATTTTCCTAGGTTCCCTACTTTTCAGCCATAAAATTTTGTTATCTGTGGATTTAAGTTAAAAGGTACATTGAGATCTGAAGGATGGACCGCTTAAGTTCTAGGGGATGGACTGCTGAAGTGATCAGAACTCAGTGGCCAAGTCTGACCAGATAAACCCCACCCAATCAAAGCAAAACACCTGTGACATCTGCATCACCTCAAACCAGGACCACCGAAAAAGCACAGGAGATTCCTTCGTCGTCACATCTGATGTTTTCTCAAGTGGTGAGGCATGAACCTGGAACTATAAGCCACGCAATGTAGTTCAAGGCTTCAGGCCCCTAAGTAAAAGAGGTGGAGCGGGAGGGAGGGAAATGATCGATTATAGCAGAGATCAGACCTACACATTCTGGAGTTAAAAATCTTGGAAGTCCCAGTCATACGTCCTGCTCAACACAACAGGGAACTCCGACAACTTGAAGGCCACCTTCTAAGCCCTTTTCTCGGTCAGCAGAGATGGTAGTGATTTCAGTGGGGAGGTTAGAGCAAGGGTGCTGGATTCTGCAGCCTGGTTCCCTGGCTTAGAATCACAGAGTTGGAAGTAATGCCCCCTCTAAGCTGTGGAGTCTTGTGAGCAAAAATCTTACTTGGTGAGCTACTGGCATTAAAGTCGTGAGCGAGCGATTTGGCTCCTGCATAAATTAGTTTGCTCTGGAGCCCTCCTTCCTGAGCTGAGACAAAATATGTGTGAGCCGGAGGCTAAAAAAATGTGAGCTAGTTTGCACTAACTCAGCTTAGAGGGAGCACTGAGACCTCCAGGGTCATCTAGTCCAACCCCCTGCACAATGCAGGGAATTCACAAATACCTCCCCCCCCCCACGCACCCCCAGTCACCGCTTGAATACAGGCTCTCATAAATGTGCTCACTGGCTCCTTTGGCAACTCATCCTTTTCCCCAATGGCTGCTGTCCTTCCTTCATTCCAAAAGGGGGTGGCACACCTGATTGTGTTTTATCAGTGGCACATCTGTTGCCAGATGAGACCTGTAGGGAGAAATGAAGCTGGGGGGGGATCCTTCCAAATCTGCTGCTGACATAAGAATTTGAGCACCTGTCTCAGGTTTCTGCAAAGCTGGCAACTAGGAACTGAGAACAGGACTGATTTCAGTCACCACAAAAACAGGATGTCCCTGCCTGACTCTAGGGGTGAATCTACTAGAAAACTAACGACGTTTAAGCTCCAGGGCCCCTAATCCTGGAGGGGACCTGAAGCAACTTCTTTTAATGAGTGAATATTTCAGCAAAGTTGATGGAGTTTTTTTAAGTGTTATTAAAATACGGCTATTTTAGTAACAGAGTCATAAGCCAATGGGTTGAATTACTTAATATTGACCTTAGCAGGGGTCATTTCCTGCAGGAGCGCACAGGAGTGGAGCTCCAGCAGTAAGGAGCCCAGGGGGCAGGCACATGCAACAAGCCCCGCCCCCTGCTCCCAGCAGCCCTCAGTCGGGTCACGAGGAGCAAGAAGCAGCCAGGTAAATTGCAGAGCCCCCCCGCACCAGCCTGCCTTCAGGTACAAGCTCTGTGAGGGAAAATCTGTACGTTCCCCCCCCCAATAGCTAGCAATCCAAAACAGTCTAGTGAAGCCTGAGCAGTGGGTGTTGCCTTCTGACACACTCGAGCTGTTCATCTTACTTATGAAATAAAGAAGAAAAAAATATTGGGATTTTTACATCAGTATATGTTCATTGATGGTTATTTCATTATTTTGGAATGATTTGAACCTTATTGCAGCAATTTCTTGTTCACTATTCTTGCTACTTCTATTTTGCTGTGCCCTTTGTGCCCTTTGTTGTATTCTCACACTTCCGGTGATGTCAGGGGGCGTGGCATATGCAAATAAGTCATGCTAATGAGCTCCTGTACCTCTTTTTCTACGAAATGACCCCTAGACCGTAGAATATGCTCTAATACTCACTTCATGTGGCCTCAATATGTCCCTGTACTTTGTCAAATTTCAAAATTTTCTCGGGGGGCTTGCAGCACCCAAACCCCTAGCTGTATGGGCTCGCTGAGCTCGCCAGAATCTATTCTGAGCTCGCCCCTTTGGAACTTGTTGGAAGTCGCCCTATTGTTGCTGGTTGAGAAGGAGCCCCCATAACAGTTCAAGCTTCGGGGTCCCAAAAACGTAGGTCTGCCACCGCCTGCAACTGCTGCTATAGCCCCTGAAGTTCCGTTCCTGAGGGTCACGTGACACTCAAAATGGGGGGGGGAGTACGATCTGCAACAGGGGTGGTAAAACGGGCATAAAAAATCCACCCCCCTCCATCAACTGAAGTGCCCTTATGCTGGTGACGTGGCCCCTCTCAAGTCAATGTGCTCACAGCATTCCCCCCTCCCTTACACAGTGGCAACACGAACTGAAATGAGCTTCAGTTACTGTAATAAAGACGGCCGAAAGATGGAGTGATGGCCAGAAGAATGGACAGTTTTAAAAGGGGATTCGACCGATTAATGGAAGATGGACCTATCAGTGGCTACTAGCCCTGAGGACTGAAGGGCAACTCCACATTCAGAGTCAAGAGGCAACATCAGAAGAAGGCCTCAGCCTCTATGTCCCATCGCTGGCTCCCTAGTGGCTGGTCACCATGTGAGATGAGATGCTGGACTAGATGGATCCCAGGTCTGATCCAGCAGGGTTCTTATGTTCTTAAGCCGGCTGTCCTGAACCAGCCATTTCCATACAGGCATTCACTGTAAAAGCTGTCACACTAAATAGGTCCCTCTGCCCTGACGACCTCAATGTTCCCTCTAAGCTGAGTCAGTGTGAGCTAGCTCACAGTTTTTTAGCCTCCGGCTCACACATTTTTGTCTTAGCTCAGGAAGGACGGCTCCAGAGCAAACTAATGTATGCAGCAGCCAAATCTCTCGTTCACAACTTTAATGCCAAAGTAGAATTTTTGCTCACAAGACTCCGCAGCTTAGAGGGAGCACTGCTCTGCAGTAAAACAATGCATAAGCTGCTACTGGACTCGAACCCAGCTCTTCTACTGCAGACCGAGACGGCCACCCTCTGAAACTACCACGCATAATATTAAAGAGTAATACTAAGTTATTTAGAATATCTGTGTGTAGTGGCCTGTTACTATTACCCAGAAGCAAAGGGTTTGCATCAAAAGAGAAATGGGACAGCAGTAACAAAACAAATTTATTCTTCTTTTACTTAACAAAACATCAAAACGCAAAACTGTCTAAATATCCAGAGCTTCTTTTTATATTTTTTGGTATTAATTCTTTCACCCGCAACAGAGCTTAAACCATTTTAGAGCATCAAGCTAGTCCACTATCCCGCGTCCAGATTTTTTCCAAAAACCACTACAGCAAATGCACCGGCACGGGAAATACTTCTGGGGGCTCATTGAAGTAGCAGACTTGCCCTCTCAACTGTCCCCGTCATCAGTACTGAAATATGAAGAAGCTCGTGCTCGACAGCTCCATCTCGCAGGTGCGCTTTCAGTCTTCTTGGTCGCTTAACCCCAAAGGGTCGGCGTAGCTGTCTGAATCAGCAGTCTCTTCCTTCACAGCTGAAGATACAAGGGAGAAAAGCAGGATGTATTTTAAAAAGCCACGAGCATTTGTGGTTGCGTTAAAGCTATTTTAAAGGAACTAAACTTCCAAGGGCCAGTTAGCGAACTAGTTACATCTCCAAGTCCAGGGGCACCTTTAAGACCAACAAAGTTTCACTCAAGGTATAAGCTTTCGTATGCATGCCCACTTCCTCAGATATACTGAAGTGGAAGTTAACAGTCCATATACTTATCAGTAGAGGGTGAGCAGCAAATTAGCATAAACATGATAACCGGGTGTTTCGCTGATACAAGAGCCAAACTGGAATAACAAGCTTGGTTTACAGGGTCACCATGTGTTTGGGTTTAATTCCAGGGTGAAGAAAGTAAACACCGTGAAGTAAATAAGTATATCAAAATCGGAGACAGATAAGCAGACCGGTCCTTCTTAATTGTGGGGTGCTGAGAGTAATTAACTGAGACCATATAAACAAAGCTTGCTATTCCTGTTTGGTCCTTGCGTCTGTTAAATATCTTCATTACATTCAGAGGCAGTCAACCTCTGAATCCCAGAGCCCTGTTGTTGTCCATCCAGAATAGATGGCTGGCCACTATTTGAGAAAGAGGTCTGATAAAGAGCCAATATCAAAAACCTAGTTGAAACTTATAATATACAAAAATACATGTATTTATTAGAAAGACGGTTAAGAACATATAAGGGCCAAATGAAAGCCTCGTTGAAGCCTTCTACACCTCTATACCTTTGTCTTGTGTCTACAGATCTTGCTGCTGAAAAAAAATTTTCTTGGTCACTTGTTGGTTTATCTTATCGTAATATGTATTATTGTTATGTGTACGTCAATACTGTTTGACCTCTGAAGAAGGCCCCAATAGGGCGGAAACACGTCAGGTCATGTGTATTGGTCCTTGTGTTCAGGTCACTTGAACCTTTTAACGAGGCTTTCATTGGCCCCATATATGTTTTTAACTGTCTTTCTAATAAATACATGTACTTTTGTATAAGTTTCAACTAGGTTTTTAATACTGGCCCTTTATCAGACTTCGTTCTTACCCTTGTGGTTCTTGATTCCAGTTTTTGGGTCAAGTTTGTTCCGTGCCCCCCACCCCATGACTTACTGGCCACTGTGTGGGACAGGATGCTGGACTAGGTAGACCACTGGTCCAATCCAGCAGGGGTCGTCTTAGGTTCTTATGAGGGCCTCGGCCTCTCTGCCCTGTATCTGGCCCTCCAGAGGAACTGGTTGGCCACTGCGTGAGACAAGATGCTGGACTAGATGGACCACTGGTCTGATCCAGCAGGGCTCTTCTGGTGTCCTTATGGCGGTCTGATTCTGCATTTCTGTCCAATGCTTATCATCTCTTAATTACTACACAGCCGTCATTTGGGAAAGTTGAGATAGAAAATATAAATACAGCCCTTCATTTCTAGAAAAGAGATGAAGTCGGGTCTGTTTGGAAGAGATTATCTGGAAGTCTTTTTACTGTCAGCACAGGGTCTTGGGGAGAGGGCTCTCCGTAATTTCTCAATGACTAGGGGAAAAAGACATGTTGTCAGGGACATCTCATTGCTTAGATGGATCCACAACACTAAATATTCTGACAGAAAAAATTACTTTCCTCTTCTCTGCAAACAGCTTCAGTGCTGCCGTGATCCATGTTTGGGGAAGGGCAGGTACTGGTTGCTACTGTGACAGACAGGCCCACCGAAGTCGGCTATCTGGCATCTTTTAACCTTCTTGGCGCCCTGGCCTAGCTTGATCTTGTCACAACTTAGAAGGCCCACAGGGGTCAACTCTGGTCAGTATTTGGATGGGAGACCTCCAAGAAGGGCCAGGGTTGCTACACAGGAGCGCAGCTCCGGCAGTAAAGAGCCCAGGGGGCGGGCACATGCAACAAGCCCCACCCCCTGCTCCCAGCAGCCCTCAGTCAGAACAAGAAGCAGCCAAGTAAGCTGCAGAGCCTACCCCCCCCCCGGTCCAAAACAGTCCAGTGGCACCTTTAAGACCAGGTTTTATTCAGGTACAAGCTCTCTCTCCTCTGCGAGGACATATCTGCACATTCCCCCACCCACCCACCCAATAGCTAGCAATCCAAAACAGTCCAGTGGAGCCTGAGCGGTGGGTGTTGCCTTCTGACGCACTTCCGGTGATGTCAGGGGGTGTGGCATATGCAAATAAGTTATGCTAATGAGTTATGCTAATGAGTTCCTGCACCTCTTTTTCTGCGAAATAACCCCTGACTATAAGTACACTGCGACGATGACAATAAAAAGAGAAGGAAAAACCCACATTATTGGCATTTTGAGCCTATTTTAAATTATTTTAGTGAAGTGGGGAAAAAGTCTGCATTATGGCTAACCGCTCTACGCTGCAGTGCTGAGATTGGAGCAGCTTGGAAGTTTCAATAAACAGAGAGAGCAGGGGAGGGGAGGAAAAGAAAAATACCAGGGGGGAGGGATGCTTGATCATTGCTTGCAAATCACACACTGCCGTTCTAAGGTAACTTTTCGAAAGACGTGTTTCTCTTGAGTCCAATTAATTATGTTGAATATGCTCAGCTAGGAGCTTCTCCCCAGCCGGCTGGCCAGGTCTACGTAGTACGTTCAGCTAACAGCGCTTTGGCTATGCCTGGGCTCTTAGTCCTGACTGCTACACCCCCACAGAAAAGGGACTACTCTACTCTACTCCTAGAGGTGCCCCCAAACAGGCCATCTAAAATAGATGTTCCACAGTACAGCCACCTGCACTCCAATACCTTCATGGGGGAGGAAATGCTCTCAAGCATTCTGGCAACTGCCCGACACCCCATTCAGGCCCCCGTCTCAGAGTTACTGCATGTCACAATGGAACCCCACAGGAGGAGCACCAGATTTCTCCCTTTCCCAAAATCTAATGCAATAAAGGAGATTCCACCTGCCCTGCGGCACGCACAGAGTACCTGAAAAAAGAGGGTCTCTTTCTCCTCCTACCACCGGGGCCATGGTTCAGTGGCAGAGCATCTGCTTGGCATGCAGAAGGTCCTAGCTTCAATCCCCAGCATCTCCAGTTAAAAGGACCAGGCAGTGGGTGATAAGACCACAGCCTGAGACCCTGGAGAACAGTTGTGAGTCAGTATAAGGCAGCTTCACTGTCAGAGCTTCCAAGAGCCCAGGGAAAGGGCTCCGATCTCACACTATCCTTTGGAGGAGCCTCCCTGATACTTGTGCTGGCTCCAAAAGCTCAGTGCTAATTTGAAGACCATTTCTGTAAACCTCCTGCATGTGTCAAGAGACACACGAAGGACAAGGGTCAATGGGAACCACACAAAAAACACCTGGCTACTAAGTCAAGCTGGAGACCTCTTCAAGTTAAACCAAATAATAGGGACCCCAAGCATATATAAAGTATAAAGAAACAAAAGCACAAGGGTAGACCATCAATTTCACTGGAGACCTCTTCAAGATAAACCGAACAATAGGGACCCCAAGCATATATAATGTATAAAGAAACAAAAGCGCAAGGGTAGACCACCAATTTCACAAGTTGCCAGTAGACGCAAGTCTATTGAAACATGGTAACATTACACCAATAAATAAAGTAGAATTGGTGGTCACAATTCAAAGATAAGGGTCACAATAATGGTAATAAACAACAAGAGACTCCTCTGAATCCTTTCATGAAATAAGTGTCCAAAGGACCTCAAAGTCCACCAACAAGGCAGAGGATGTCCCAAAGAAACTTCTGCAGCCGAAAGACGTCCTTCCCAGGTATGCCAGACGTTTCAAAACATTCTTCCTCAGTTACACGGCTGAAAAATGGAACCAGATTTCCACAATAGTCTAGGCACAGATATGGATACCTGTGACCACCAATTCTACTTTATTTATTGATGTAATGTTACCATGTTTCAATAGACTTGTGTCTACTGGCAACTTGTGAAATGTGTATATTTGTTGGAGACCTCTTCAAGACAATTCCTGGAAACAATGATCTGTGCCATCTTCACAGTGTGCCACTTTATCTAGAAATCAGCAGGTTCACACACATGACTGGAATCATAGCTTCAACTATCACTTCGACATTGCCATTGGCATGGGAGACCAAGGCCACGTACATTGCAGCACCGTAACCTAAGACTGGAATGCCACCAAGACACACAACTCAGCTCTCCTCCTACCTCACGTCATTTCAGCTCTGCCCAGAACTATTGCAACTTAGTCTTACTGTAGCATACATAGGCTGCGGTCACACACACGAAATAATCAACTTTCAATGCACTTTCCAACTGGATTTTGTCAGTTCAAACAGTAAAAATCCAGTTGGAAAGTGCACTGAAAGTTGATTGAACGTGGATTATTTCGTGTGTGTGACCACAGCAATACACATCTTATGTCTGGTCTCCTCGTGCACTCAGAGGTAACTTTACTACCACATCAGCAACTGTGAGAGGGGAAGCAACTGAAGGACTGAGTCTCAAGATTGTGCACAGACGAAAAACCAAAACCCACCAGAACTCTGCAAGATTTTACATATTATTTAGTAGAAATTGAAAAGACATTCTCCTCACCGTCAGCTTCTAAACTACTTTCTGACGATTCAAGTGGGGTACCCATTTCATCACATAATACCTGCAGGTGGGGGAGAAAAACCCAGAGAGTTTAGGCGATAGACCTATGGGAATTTTTTTATACAACTGGAAAAATTTCAATATGGTTACCTAACTGTATAAAGTGTTCTAGGGAGGAGGAGGAGGAGGAGGAGAAGGAGAAGGAGAAGGAGAGATTGGATTTATACCCCGCCCTTCACTTGGAGTCTCAGGGCGGCTTACAAACTCCTTCCCCTCCCCAGAACAGACACCTTGTGAGGTGGGTGGGGCTGAGAGAACTCTGACACAGACTGCTCCTTTTCAAGGACAGCTATGCCAGAGCTTGTGACTGACCCAAGGTCACATCAGCAGGTGCAAGTGGAGGAGTGGGGAATCAAACCCGGTTCTCCCAGATTAGAGTCCACGCACTTAACCACTACACCAAAGCAGGTATGTCTTAAAATAGTGTAATCTTAAGCACCATTCAAATAATAAAACTACCATTTAATCCTGAATTGTTTTTATTGAATATTGTTCTGAAAATTTTTATAAAACAATATGTCTATATGATTGTGCATGTAGTGACATCCGCAAGAATACTTTATACAAAATATTGGAAGAAAGAAGAAGTATCCACAAAAGAAGAAATAATAAATTGTTTGAAGCTGCAGAAATGGACAAATTATCTTTATAGTTACAAGGGAAAAAAGATGGACCTTTTGAAAATATTTGGAGAAAATTGTATGGATGGATTGAGGACCATACTCAGAAATCTTCAAAATAATCTAAAAAATAAAAGTTATCACTTAAAATTGAGTATAAAATTAGACATAGGTGCTTAAAATCAGATAAGATTCAAACATATTACTTATGTTAACCAGAGACTAAGTACAAGCTCCACTACTGTAGTAGGTGTTGTTCGTTATTGTCTTGTTGTTATGTGATTGTTGTTGTTTTATTTCTTGTAGTGACTTTCCTTTTTCTGAAAATAATAAATCGTCCTGGCTTCAGACAAGATAATAATAATAATAATAATAGTTTCATTTATTTCCATGCTCAGACTTCTGTTACAGAAGTAAGCTAGCAGACAGCAATACTATCTTAGTAGACATCTGTATCTAGACAAAAAATGCTACAGAGTCTGAGAACAATTAATTCCCTCTACAGACATTTCTTCACCAACACTACAGTCAAGAAACCAGCCAGAAGTGCAGGTCCTCTTTGCAAACATTGACAAGTATGTTTTTTCTTGAGTAAAGGCGAATCTTCACACAAGCCAGAACTTAATGTGAACAGTGACAGTGGATCCTACCGATTTTGAGCAAGATTCCAGTTTTCTTTGCAAAAGCCAAATTGTCTCTTGTGAGACCTGCTAGTGGGGAAGGACTTCATTGCCTCCTCCTACTGCACACAGAGGACACCCCCCCCCCCGATTTCCGCACCAACAGACCCTAATTAAAAGCATGGCAAGAAGGGCAAAAGCAGGAGGAGGAAATCAGTAGAAATCTACCCGCCCCCCAACACATATGCCTTTCTGTCATCAGAAACTAACAGGATCATATCGGCTGTTTCTTGGTCACCAAACCTTACTATTCTACATGTAAGAATTTTAACCTTCATAGCGACCAGTTCTTCAGTGTTAGTCTGTAGGGGGGGGGGGGAATCTGTCGTGTTAAAGACAAATAGCTTCAAGCTTCAATGCATTTCCCAATATCTTAGGTGCCAAAAAAGCCCTTAATAATTCATTCCACCCATTTAACAGGGACAGGTTCGATTTCTTCTTCCCCCCCTCTCCCTCCCCACCCCCCTCAGAGTTTTTTCAAAAAATGGCATTGCATTGACTAGTTTTCAATTTACTGGTCAGGAAACTTGATTTTAGTAAAAAAATATATATATTTTACACTTGAGCTCCTTAAAGGGAACTATCATTGAGCCTCCTTCCTCGTTAATTTTAATTCTGGCAACCCACCCCTTTACCATGCCGGACCCGGACAGTGTAGCCAATGAACTGCAGTTCAAATGTAGGTATTCCCCCTCCGCTCCCCTTTCTGCTGTGAAGACAAATCCATAGAGTTCATTCCACTCCTCTGCCTTTCCTAATCTTCCTCCTTCTCATGTACAAGCCTCTTGCTAGTTTAACTGTGACAGTAAATACAACATGGTTCTTCAGTACTATAGCAAGTAGCGTACCTCGGCTGGACCCAAGTTCTGTTCAGAAATCCCATTCCAAACATTTATAGGGCTGACTGTCTCTTTGTTCCCATTAAAGAGATTCAAAACATTTACATAAAGCTAGGGCCATCATTTAAACAGGCAGGTCTACTTATGTAAAGGACAGCTAAAATTATTCCCATATTGAATGAGTACTGTCAGATAGATACTTAGTGCTTCATCTTAATGTTTAACTCACTCACAATACTCTCATTTCCTTACCTGTGTACCTTCAGCAGAAGCGTCCAAGATCTGAACCTCATACCCCTGTGCATCTGTCTTCACCACGCATTTGGGTCCAACATCAACACCTTCTAACTCACAAGGAGTTTCATTTTTTTCTGCCAAGAGAAAACATTGTTTACAAGCACCTCACCTGGTGCAAGCTGCAACCTATATGAAATGAGACAAAGGGTTAATTTCTCTTCACCCAGGAGGTGCAGAATGGTAAGTTTTAACCTTGCTTGCCAAATCTTAGCGCCCCCCCCCCTTTTCTCCCCAAGAAATGGTAGGTGAAGATATATATACAAGTTCAGCTCATATTTCTTCCCCCACTATAATAGCTAAACTGTATTTAGGTCAGTGTTCCCTCTAAGCTGAGTGAGTGTGAGCTAGCTCACGGTTTTTTAGCCTCCCGCTCACACATTTTTGTCTCAGCTCAGGAAGGAGGGCTCCAGAGCAAACTAATTTATGCAGGAGCCAAATCGCTCGCTCACAACTTTAAGGCCAGTAGCTCACAAAATAGAATTTTTGCTCACAAGACTCCACAGCTTAGAGGGAACATTGATTCAGGTATCTTCTCTTTTATTATGATCTCTGTAACTCAGCAAAAGGAGTTGCGGTGGCTCAAGTGATTACGACGCTGAACTGCAGGCTGTGGAAGGTCGGTAGTTCAGCAGTTCGAGACCCGAATGCCGCATGACGGAGTGAGCTCCCGTCTCTAGTTCCAGCTCCTGCCAACCTAGCAGTTCGAAAGCAAGACATTGCAAGTAGATAAATAGGTACCACTTCGGTGGGAAGGTAACAGCATTCTGTGCGCCTTGGTGTTTAGTCATGCTGGCCACATGACCACGGAAACGTCTTCGGACAGCGCTGGCTCTTCGGCATTGAAACGGAGATGAGCACCGCAACCCTGGAGTCGGACTCGACTGGCTTTCGAGGAAGGGAACCTTTACCTTTTTAACTCAGCAAAGCTAACTCCGTTTGCATGGACACAAAACTATCTTCACTTGTAGTTTATTCATTCCAAGCAGCCCAATGGTGATAGAAGCACACATGGACAGGGCGTGCACATAACAGACTATAAATTACATAAATAAACAAATAGGACCAGAATTTAAGAGGCACTAAAAAAGAGTTGAGAGAGAATACCGGGGTGGACAGGATGGGACAAAACTCCTTTAACAGTTGCAATAAAGGGGAGAATTTTCATAGAGATGTGTCATTTCACAAATGTTGGAAAGTTACAGCAACTAACACATGGCAATCTATATGGTATAAAAGGAACAGCTCCACAGGAGACCAAGCCCACCAATTTCCCAGGAGCTCACAAATACCAACGGGCCATTAGCCTCTTGGGCATTTAGTCCAAGCCACGAACACCAAATAAGGCTGGACAACTTGCGTGCCAGGAATTTAGCAACAGGTGGGTCCCAGAAAGCCCGTATTTTTAGCATGAAGGTTGCTTCAGAATACAGGAAAGAGGCGTCTGTGAACAAGTCTGTTCGATTGAACTGAGACAGGAAGCTCTTGGAACGAAACAGAGAGAGAAAGAAATCAATCTACGGTCTATGGTCAGAGGTCAATCCATTCCACTCTTTAGGCACGGTCGGCTCTTGTCTCTTTCCCCATTAAGTGCTCCAAATCCCTCCCATAAACATATATGAAACACATCTGTTTGCTGCTCATCAGCAGCTGCTACTTAAATATTGGTACATTCAGGCTAGGCGAAGAGAAGAAGAAGAGAAGAGATTGGACTTATACCCCGCCCTTCACCTGGAGTCTCAGAGCGGCTTACAAACTCCTTTCCCTTCCCCTCCCCACAACAGACACCCTGTGAGGTGGGTGGGGCTGAGAGAACTCTGACACAAACTGCTCTTTTTCAGGAACAGCTGTGCCAGAGCTTGTGACTGACCCAAGGTCACATCAGCAGGTGCAAGTGGAGGAGTGGGGATTCAAACCCGGTTCTCCCAGATTAGAGTCCACACACTTAACCACGACACCAAACAACGAGACAGCTATAGGCACAAAGCATCCAACTTTGCTACGAAACAAACAAACCAAAAAGCTTACCGGCACTCTGGCTTGAAGTTTCAGCTCGCTCTTCCCACTGCAGCCGAGTTGCAGAATCACCATCATCGGCCAACTCGCTGTCGCTCTCTTCAAAACCACTGCACGTGACAGGCCTCGTCTCTACTGGTTCCAAGCTTTCCTCCAGCACAGTCTGCGGTTTTACGTCGTCCTGTTTCGGGGCATCGGGTCCGATTTCACACAGATCTGTATCCTCCTCTCCCATACAAAACTCGGCTTGCGGTTTTAATTTGCTTTCTGAAAGGCAGGACGGAATTTCTGGGGGAGAGGAAGCGGGCGCAGCAGGCAGTATGGGCAGCTCCTGAATTTCGACAGCTAGCAAAAAGGGTGCTGAAGGGGCCGGCAGTTCTAGTGGCCTCTCCTGCTCACAGCTTAGCCCACAGTCCACTTCATCCATTAGCAAAGGGCTCGGATCCAGCTCTCTTTCCACCCAGGGCTCTTCAACCAAGACCAGTTTGGAGGTTTCTCCCATTTCTTCACATGAGAGTTGATTCACATCAATGGACCCCGGTTCCGCTAAGCTTCCTGAAGAGTCTTTTCCAGCACTCAACAGCAGCTCCATGTCAAATGGATCCTGTATTAAAGTTGCCTTCCAGTCTTTGACCTCCTCTTGAGCTTCAAAGGTATTCTGTCCTGACACCTCTGCTTCAATACGTGCTGGAAGTAGAACTTCAGAAACATCTATACAACTTAGAGCACTCATCTGGCTATCACTTTCTCTCTCGGGGGTCAAACAGTCCAATTCATTAGTAGGCACTTCAGGTATAGCTGGTTGTTCCCCTATATCAAGTACCTCAAAGGTGGTTTGGTGATGCCCGGCTGGATCTTCATTTCCTTTCATTTCACAAAGTTCCACATTTCTTGTAGAAGCTGAACACTCTTCTGTTGGCTGAAAAGGCTCTGAAGCACATAACAAATCCTCTGAGGCCATGGTATCTTTGGAAGCCAATGAAGTGCAAGCAGATATTCCCATTTCACAGTGTAAAACTTCCAAATCTTCTGCCTTAGCATCTTTGTTCTGTCCTTCATCACTGAGGAGGTTCGCCACAGCTGCGCCACCATTTTCATTGTTAGGCTTCCAAAAGGGTTTCATGTGTGCATTTATGCTTTCCCCCTGACATTCCAAATTAACAACAAATAATGGAATTTCAAAAGGCCTATTACACAGTATTTCCATAACTGTAACGTCTAGTAAGGAATCCACTATTTTACCGCAGAAGATGCCAATTGTTCCTTCTACCCAGGAACCCTCAGAGGAATTAAATCCAAACAGACTACATAGAAATGCTTGAGGAGGTAGTGTTAATAGCTCATCAGAAATCTGCCTTAACATCTCTCTGGTGACAAGGTCCTCAGTTCCATAATCAACATGAGTAACTCTCAAGATGTTCTCTTGTACACTCGTAACTATTGCTCGGTAAAAATTTTCATCTTTACTACATTTTGCTAGACAAGGGCAACCAATTTTAATATCACCCACATTGAAACCAGCCAGCTTTGTAGCATCCTGGACCTTCTTTTCAATGGAAATTATTTCATTCAGATCAGCAAACTGACACCAGAAATAATCTGCACTCTCTGTGGCTCTCGCAAAGGCTTCTACAGTTTGTCCACCTACAGGTGTCTTCCAGAAAAATGACTTGGCATCCTGTCCACCTGCAGGTCTGCTAGGCTCATCAGAAGTAACGTGACCCAAATGTATCAAGTCAGGCTCGGTTTCATTTTTGTCAGGTGCCTCCAGGGACAGAGATTTTTTGCATGCAAGATGACTATTAACCAAATCTGCCGTCACGTTACCTTCTCTGTCACACAGAATAACTTCCCATTTGCCTTGACGTTTTTCCACAAATTCACAGTTCATCTGAATTTCACTTGTGCTCTGGGAGAAGCACAGAACTGCTTCCTCTGTCCACTCTGGGAGCCTTCCGGTCTTCACTCCACCCAGTGAGCAGCGAATGCTCATTCCTGGACAGAGTGCACAGTCCTCCAGAAGTCTACAGGTTTTGCAAATGTTAACTACTGCGGTATTACCATAATCAATATACTGTACACTGACCAATTCATCTGAGGGCTGCTTTTGGACTACAGCTCGATACCACAAGCTGTCTTCTGGAAAAACTGCACATATCAAGTCTCCTATGTAGAGCTGCTGTCCATTTAGGTTCTCAACCATTTCAGACTGGTTTAGTTTCTCTGAAATACTGTCAAGTAGGGGCTCTTCTTCTACTAGCTGAACATAAAAGTCAGACGGACTGTTTATATGAGAAACATACACAAAGGTCTTAAAACCAGGGCTTAGGTTTTTCAGAGGTAAATCACACATTTTCTTAAGTGGAGAGTCTGTGAAAATTTCATTTTGATTTCGGTTTTCCAAGCTATCAGCTGTCCCTTCTCTCTCATCGTGTCCAGTCCTGCCTGTCACAGGATCAGCTTGGTTACGTCCTTCCACTGGCAGGCGAGACTGTGTCACCATCTCTCTCTTTGTTTTCTGCTGAGAGGGTTTTACTTCTCTGCATGCAGCACTGGGTTTGCTATGACCCAGGGGTTCCAGATTTTTAGACACCTGTCTCTTAATCTCTGGAGTAGAATGGTGAGCCCCTGTAAAAAATGGCCTCCTTGCCTCACTGCCCAATTCCCTATTTTCTGCAGATCTCACCATTCTTTTGCTGCCTTGTAAATCTAAGCGTTCTTTCAGTTTTGCATTGATCTGTATTTTGCCATCATATAATTCAACTATCAGTTTTCCATCAGGTTCTTTTGCTACAATTAAAGCCTTTAAGGAGTTATCCAGCACTAACTTTTCAAACCACGCAATGGCTTCTTTGGGTACTTTGGCAATATCAGATAATGAACATTTTATCGCTTGCATTGGTAAAAGCTGTATCTCATAGGCATCTCCAGGTACTAACATCAGATCTTCTTTTTTCAGGGACTCAGTATTCCCATAATCGACAAAGAAGACTTCTTTGGTAGAACTTCCTTGAGCCAGTATTGCCCTGTACCAGCAGCCATCAGTATACTTTGCCAGATATAAGTTTCGAAGATCCGGTGAGGATTTCAGACCATGCCCCACTTTGCTGAGCTTACTGATGCTATCTGTTAAGTGTTCAAGAACATGAGCACTTCTGGCCAGCTGGCAGTAGAAGAGACACAGATCCTGGACATGTGTGACATAGACCAACTCTTCACTTCCTATTTTGATGTCATGTGTTGAATAATAGTAAGATAGAAGATGAACTGATGATGCCAAGGGTTTCTGTGGTGCTACAGATTTGGCTAAGCCCTTCCTCGTTAAAAAATGGCATGCACTTTCAAAAGGTGTGATTAAGTCCACCACGTTAAGCAGGTATGTATTATCAAGTGCTGCTAAAGCAAATATGGTACACTTCAGTTCAATTTTAGTTGCTGAGTCAACAAATTCCTGAAAAGCTTCAGTGGCCTTTTCATCCCAAACAAAAGGATCCTGATTATCTGGCTGAATTAAATTGTAAAGGCTACATCGGAAAGCCTGGGCTTTCAGCTGGAGAAACTCGGCCCTAGTTGAGCAAAGATTCTTTAGAGGAACAACCTCTTTATTCCCATAGTCGACATACGCGACTTCTACCCCTTCTGTAGGATGAGCAGCACGAATAATAAGAGCTCTGTACCACTTCTCATCTCCTGAATACTTAGCAAGACACACAGGGTTAAGCCAGTCATGGGGCTGTGCTGCATGAAGACAGTAATGCTGAATTTCAGCCATAAGTATCTTCAAATCATGGGACGTTTTAGCCAACTGACACCAAAAGAGACTGGGACTTTCTACATAAGATACTATCACATCGACTGTACTTCCAACTTCTAACTGCCCTTCACAAGATAATCCTGCCCTTCTTTCAGAGGAGTTTTTTGCAAGACAGGGCAAATTGTCTGGGACACCCTTAGATTCCTCTTTTCCAACTGCTTTACTTGGCAAAGAGCAAATGCTTTCAACTGCTTGGTGTTTGGTTGTCAAAGCTGGACGGTCAAGTTTGGATGGGAATTCTCTATCTTTTGCAGATATTACAGTCTTGGGGTTATGACTTACGCCCTGCTCTTTAGCACTCTTTCTCACAAGCTTATCTGAAAGCTTCTGGATGGTCTCCAACACTGCCTTGTCATGATGCTCAGCGTACTTCCCCTGGGACATGATTTTGGCTAAGTTTTTTTCTCCTGCTAGAGAATGATCAAAAAGTTCAACTATGTAAATGTCCCCTTGCATGCCCAGGACCTGCATCACCAGTTCCTTATTCAGCACAGCTTTCTTGAAATAGTCTACAGAGCCTGGACTCCACGGTTGACTTGGAGAAGGATTAGCCAAGGCACACCTGAGTGCCACAGCAGGAAGTTCTCTGAACTGAGGAAGCAGATCCTTCACCTTGTACAGGTCAACTAATTCCGTGCTTCCCCGGTCAACCAGATATACTTCGATACCTTCCCCCTGCACGCTGGTGACAATGGCACGGTGGTAAGAATTCTCCTTCAACATCACGCAGCACAAGGAACCTGGCTGGGGCTCAAGGAGAACACCCTCTAGTTTTTTGCTTTGAGAATAGAAGTCTTGTAAGTTTTGTTTCAAGTGACAGAGAGGCTGGTGGTACTCCTGGAGGTACACGGAAAACTGTGTGGGGTCTTGGAGAAAGGATACTTGGGCTTTGTGGCACTCACCTGCCTTCAGATGCACCGTAGGCAGGGAGGGGGTCGTAAACGTGCTCAGCGGTTCCTTCTTGGCAGGGGCACTGATGCTTTCCTTTTCTGCCACTAAGTCAGAAGTGTGCCCTTGATGGCTGTGCACAAATCTCTGGGTCAGGCAGCGTGCCTGCACCCCAAAAAGGCAGTTGAGGTTGAAACCTTCTTCCCCAAAAAAGGTCACGTAATATACATGCTCAAAGGCACAATAAGCCTCGATGTGAGCTTGCAGCGCCTTGCCCAGCAGCAAGGTCTTGAGCTCGCTGATCTGTGAGCGGGTCCAGCCGCAGCCCCCATCGGTGACCCCCTGCAACGAGCAAAGGTACGTCACCACTGGCATGCGGAAGCACTCCGCCGACAAGTGTCGCAGGTTCCTCTTGGTCACAAACTCCTTTCTGCCATAGTCCACGCAGATCACCTGGGCCACTGCCCCCGGCTGCTCTTCTGGGCTACCCCCGGGATATAGTTCCAGCAGCAGAGCTCGATACCAGCGTCCGTCTATGCCCCGGGCGGCACAGGGGGAACCCGGGGCAGGCAAGGCCTCTTGCGGGTCGTCTCCTCTGGCCCCCTCGAAGGCTTGGCTCATGGCGTCGGAGAGGCGGCAGATCTCTTTGGAGAGGCTGCGCAGCTGGCAGTAGATCCTGTGGGGGTCGCATATTTCGGTCACCAGCACCGACTCGGTCACGTTCAACTCCAGCTTGGGGTAGTAGTAGTCCAGGGAACCAGGACACATCCGGCCTCGGGCAGGGGTGGAGGTGGCAGGAAGGGGCGCCTGCGGAGGAGGAGGAGGAGGTGGTGGTGGAGGAGGAGGAGGAGGCGGCAGGGGGGCCTGTTCTGGTCGAAGCGAGCTGCCCCCCAGGGAGGCGTTGATCAAGGTCCGGAAGGCGGCGGGCGAGATCTGGCTGGCGAGGCCGAGGTGGTGCATCTGGGCCAGCAGCCAGGGCAGCTCCAGGACCACGAGGCGCTGCGGGAACAGGACCTCCCGCACCAGGCCCGTCACCTCCTTGCCGTGGAGGTAGCCCAGGAACTCCACCGCGCCGGCCGTCCAGCCGAAGCTGAGCCTGCCCCCGCCGACGCCGCCTCTCAGTCCCTGCGGCTCCCCGCCCGCCTCGGCCCCGAAGTTCCCGGGCGGCACCAGGTCGGCCAGGATGCAGCCCAGCACCTCGGAAGGCAGGTGGAAGAACTCCTCGCGGCCGCGGGCCAGGTAGTAGGGCCCGGCGCTGACGGTGCGGCCCTCGTCCAGCAGGAAGACGCGGTAGTCGCGGCCCGGGCCCGGGAGGCGGCCCACCACGCGGCAGCGCAGCCACCGCCCGCCCAGCTCCACCAGGCACAGGTCGCCGACCGACAGGAAGCCCACGGCGGCGGCGGCCGCCCCGACGCCGCCCGGGGCGCTGGCCAGGCGAGGCCCCGGGTCGGCCTGGATGTCGTCGCGGAGCCGCGCGTAGAGCTCCCGCCACTCGCCCGACAGGCCCCAGAGGCGGGCCAGCGGGCTCTCCGGGTGGACCTCGACGAAGGAGACGCGCAGCGTGACGGAGGTGCCCGCCGTGGGCAGCTCGGAGCACATCTTGAGCCAGGCCGCCGCTTCCGCCGCCGCCGCCTTCGCGCCTCTTTTCATGGGCGCCGGCCTTTAGGGCGGCCCACGTGACCCGGCCCCGGCCCGCCGGGCTGCGTCGACGCGGCGGAGGTTGGGCGGCTCTGCCCCACCTCTTCGCCCGTGGCCCCGGCCGCGGCGGGTTCGCCCCTCTCGGCGGCCTGACGGAGCCGACCGGGAGCGCGGGACGGCCCGCGGCGGTTTTGTCACACCCGGGGGGGGTCGCCGCGGCGGTCTTTCCGGCGGCCTGGCGAAGGTCCCGTATTCGCCCGTTGCCCCGGAGCGGTTTTTTTTGCCTCAGGCGGCGGCGGCAGCAGCCCTCGTTCGCTGGGCGTTGGCTTCTCTGGCGCGCCCTGCGGGGTTTTAATCTCCCCCTCGCGCTTCCCCGTGTTCGGGCGGATTCGACGCCGCCGCCGGAGAAGGGGGTTTAAAGTTTAAACCTCTCCCCGGGCCTGAGGAGAGTCTTGCGGGAACCCGCCCTTCGCGCGGTCCCGATCCGAATCAACCCCCCCCCCCCCCCCCCAATAAAATCAGTTCCCCTGGAGAAAGTGGTTGCTTTGAAAAGTGGACTTTATGGCATCGCGTAGGGACGCCAGCCTCCAGGTGGGACCTGGGGACCCCCCAGAATTACAACTGGTCTCCAGACGACAGAGATCAGTTCCCCTGGAGAAAGTGGATGGCTTTGGAGGGTTGGCATGGTACCCCTGTAAGGTCTCTGGTCTTCTCCAGGCTCCATCCCCCAATCTCCAGGAGTTCCCCAACCCAGAGCTGGCAACCCTCACTCAGAAGCTTGCATAGGGATGCCAGCCTCCAGGTGGGACCTGGGGACCGCCCAGGATTACAACTGGTCTCCAGACGACAGAGATCAGTTCCCCTGGAGAAAGTGGATGCTTTGAAGGGTTGGCATGGTACCCCTGTAAGGTCTCTTGTCTTCTCCAGGCTCCATCCCCCAGTCTCCAGGAGTTCCCCAACCCAGAGCTGGCAACCCTCACTCAGAAGCTTGCATAGGGATGCCAGACTCCAGGTGGGACCTGGGGACCCCCAGAATTACAGCTCACCTCCAGACTACTGACATCTCCAGACAATCCCCCAGGAGAAAGTGGATGCTTTGCAGGATGGACTCTATGGCATTGTACCCCTCTGAGGTCCCGGTCTCCCCCAGGCTCCATCCCCCAGGCTCCCAACATGGATCTGGCAACCCTACCCCCCATCTCCTGCCAGAGGCCAGGGAGGACCTAGCAGCCCTACATTATACCCCCAGCAGTCCCTTCTCTCCACAAACTCCAGTTTCTTCAGGCTCTGCCACAAGTCTCCAGTTTCTTCAGGCTCTGCCACGAGTCTCTAGGAATTTTCCAGGCCAGAGTTGGCAACCCCACGATAGACGTGTCTCTACCAATTCAGACTGGGCAGTAGATTTATTTGGTGCAAAATGTATTAAACCCCACACACACACACACTGCATTTCTGCCTTCATTGGGGCCACGAAGGCAGCTAATGGATGATGTATTTATTTAAAACATTTCTACGCCTCCTTCCATCCAGTTCAGGGTCCCCAAGGTGGCAAGTACTATAACGACTATTAAAAACATACACAGTTTTTAAAAATCATTAAAACCGAACAAAAATACAACGTTCTAACAAAGCCAAGTTAAAAGACACATACAGCAAAAGACATACATAAAAATGACAATAGTACTGCAGGATGGGGGGGCAAGAAAGGGGGGGGGAATATCTTTAAAAAGTAGAGGGGCAGTGTTGCATGGTGGTTAGAGTGAGATGCGGGTTCATAACTCCTGACCATGAAACTGCCACTTTAGACTCACTTCTCAGCATAACTTACTATGTAAGATACAGGAGACCACTAGGCCTAACTGCTAAAAGTGGGGCTAGATTACCTAATGCTGGGAATCTTTATTGTTTATTACTGATTGCCCTTGGGTAAAGCTGCTGTATTATGCACATTTGCTGTGTGCATAATACAGAGCCAGTTTGGTGTAGTGGTTAAGTGCGCGGATTCTAACCTGATTCCCTACTCCTCTACATGCGGTGGCTGCTGTGACCTTGGGTCAGTCACAAGTTCTTTCAGAGCTGTGCTCTCAAGGGCAGTTTTCAGGAGAGCTCTCTCAGCCCCACCTACCTCACAGGGTTTCTGTTGTGGGGAGGGGAAGCGAAAGCCGCTCTGAGACTCCTCCGGGTAGTGAAGGGCGTGGTATAAATCCATTCTCTTCTTTTTTGTCAGCATATAATATTGCTTACACAGTGGAAACATTTGGGGAGGGGGCTGGGGCTCAGTGGTACGCGCATCTGCTTGGCTGCAGAAGGTCCCAGGTTCAATCCCTGGCATCTCCAGTTAAAAGGTGATGTGTAGGTGATGTGAAAGACCTCTGCCTGAGACCCTAAGTACTCAATATTGATCTTGTTGTACCAATGATCTAATTCAGTGTGAGGTAGCTTCATAGCCACATTTACATATCTTGATGTGTATTCTCTTATATTTATTTATTTACATTATTTATAGTCCACCTTTCTCACTGAGACACCAGGCAGATTACACAAATTAGTGCCATCAATAGGATGTTCTGACCTCCAAGGAATACCAGCAGGGGTCATTTCCTGCGGGAGCACACAGGAGCGGAGCTCTGGCAGTAAGGAGCCCAGGGGGCGGGCACATGCAACAAGCCCTGCCCCCTGCTCCCAGCAGCCCTCAGTCAGGCCACGAGGAGCAAGAAGCAGCCAGGTACAAGCTCTCCCTCCTCTGTGAGGGCAGCTCTGCGCGTTCCCCTCCCCCCCACAGCTAGCAATCCAAAACAGTGGCACCTTTAAGACCAAGTTTTATTCAGGTACAAGTTCTCCCTCTTCTGTGAGGGCAGATCTGCGCGTTCCCCTCCCCCCCATAGCTAGCAATCCAAAACAGTAGCACCTTTAAGACCAAGTTTTATTCAGGTACAAGCTCTCCCTCTTCTGTGAAGGCAGATCTGTGCGTTCCCCTCCCCCCCATAGCTACCAATCCAAAACAGTGGCACCTTTAAGACCAAGTTTTATTCAGGTACAAGCTCTCCCTCCTCTGTGAGGGCAGATCTGCACTTCCCCACCCCCCCAATAGCTAGCAATCCAAAACAGTCCAGTGGAGCCTGAGCGGTCGGTGTTGCCTTCTGACACACTTCTGGTGATGCCAGGGGGTGTGGCATATGCAAACAAGTTATGCTAATAAGTTATGCTAATGAGCTCCTGCACCTCTTTTTCTACAAAATGACCCCTGAATACCAGGGTTATACCAGGGTTATGATGCA